CTTTCTGGATGGATTACAGGAGGATATCTGGCCAGGAAGAATTCTGTGTTTGCAGCTCCTCATCCTACCTGTCTTGTAGATTGGGGGTTTGTGGAGGGAGACCTGCCTGCCACTCTGCAGGGACTCTTTCTCCATTCGGTGCCCACACCAAGGGAGACACTGTGTGAACCATGTAAAGTGTTTTAGAAATGGGAACAGTGAGCCTTGTATTGTGTTTTGTTTTGTTTCTAGAATACGCAGCCTGGCACTGAAAACCTACCGGTAAGTGAAACCACGGACCCTACTGACGACCCTCCGTGTAACCCTACAATCCCCTACTCACCACACCTAGAGTAACCCTACAGTCCCCTACTCACCACACCTAGTGTAACCCTACAGTCCCCTACTCACCACACCTAGTGTAACCCTACAGTCCCCTAGTCACAACCCCTGAGTAACCCTACAGTCCCCTACTCACCACACCTAGTGTAACCCTACAGTCCCCTAGTCACGACCCCTGAGTAACCCTACAGTCCCCTACTCACCACACCTAGTGTAACCCTACAGTCCCCTACTCACCACCCCTATTGTAACCCTACAGTCCCCTACTCACCACCCCTAGTGTAACCCTACAGTCCCCTACTCACCACCCCTAGTGTAACCCTACAGTCCCCTACTCACCACACCTAGTGTAACCCTACAGTCCCCTACTCACCACACCTAGTGTAACCCTACAGTCCCCTAGTCACGACCCCTAGTGTAACCCTACAGTCCCCTAGTCACGACCCCTAGTGTAACCCTACAGTCCCCTACTCACCACCCCTAGTGTAACCCTACAGTCCCCTAGTCACAACCCCTGAGTAACCCTACAGTCCCCTACTCACCACACCTAGTGTAACCCTACAGTCCCCTACTCACCACACCTAGTGTAACCCTACAGTCCCCCACTGACGACCTCCAGTATAACCCTACAGTCCCCTACTCACCACACCTAGCGTAACCATACAGTCCCCTACCCATGACCTCTGGTGGAACCCTACAGTCCCCTACCCATGACCCCCTGGTGTAACCCTACTGTCTCCTACTCATGATCCCTAGCATAACCCTACAGGACCCCCGGCGTAACCCTACGGTCTACCCACGACCTATGTCTGCCTGGACCCAGTGTAGACAGGAGAAGACCCCGCCCCACCTCCACCTAGACCCAGTATAGACAAGAAGGAGAGCCTGCCCCACGTCTACCTGGATCCAGTGTAGACAGGAGAATACTCTGTCCCACATACGGTTGAACCACTCACAACCCTAGTGTCACCCTACAGTCCCCTATTCACGAACCCAGCGTGACCCTACAGTCTAGGTTTACGGGACTCTTACTGCCAGTGTTACCCAGGGGTGGACAGGATGGGGCGTGACCCTGAAGCAGAGGAGAAGATCTCACATGCGTGAGGGCCCTCTCGAAGTTCTTACTGGGCGGGATCCACTCTTGGCCTCAACCTTCATGTCCCAACGGTTGGAATATTAATGCTCAGCCCGTTCTACTGATTTTCCCATTTTATTCCTCTTTCTTCTGAGTGGGTTAAGAATATATTCCAGTGACTGTCTAAGGAGACTATGTCTCCCTCTAAAATGTTTTTAGACTGAGTTCTGTTGCCGGATATTTACCAAGTCTCCTGGCCACTCTGACCCTCAGTATCCTCCTTTGTCCAACGACTATGCTGGACTTTGGGATCTTAACATCCCTTGCTAAACTATCCGTCTGAAGGTCTGTTAAGTTCCTGAATCATTTATTTATGTGTGTATTTACTTTTGAGACGGAGTCTCGCTCTGTCTCCCAGGCTGGAGTGCAGTGGTGCAATCTTGGCTCACTGCAACCTCCACCTCCCAGGTTCAAGCGATTCTCCTGCCTCAGTGTCCCTAGTAGCTGGGACTACAGGCACCTGCCACCACACCTGGCCAACAATTTTTGCTTCAAAAAATAAAATTTTAGCCGGTCACGGTGGCTCATGCCTGTCATCCCAGCATCTTGGGAGGCTGAGGCGTGCAAATCACTTGAGGTCAGGAGTTCAAGACCAGCCTGGCCAACGTGGAGAAATCCTGTCTCTACTAAAAATACAAAAATTACCCATGCCTGGTGGCAGGCGCCTGTAATCCCAGCTACACGGGAGGCTGAGGCAGGAGAATGGCTTGAACCCAGGAGGTGGAGGCAGGAGAATCGCTTAAACCCAGGAGGTGGAGGTTGCGGTGAGCCCAGATTGTGCCATTGCACTCCAGCCTGGGTGACAGAGCACGAGTCTGTCTAGAATAGAATAGAATAGAATAGAATAGAATAGGACTGGACTAGACTAGACTAGACTAGACTAGACTAGACTAGAGTAGAATAGACTAGACTAGACTAGACTAGAATAGACTAGACTAGACTAGAATAGACTAGACTAGAATAGAATAGACTAGACTAGACTAGACTAGAATAGGCTAGAATAGACTAGACTAGAATAGAATAGAATAGACTAGAATAGACTAGACTAGAATAGAATAGAATAGAATAGACTAGACTAGACTATACTAGAATAGGCTAGAATAGACTAGACTAGAATAGAATAGAATAGACTAGAATAGACTAGACTAGAATAGAATAGAATAGAATAGAATAGAATAGAATAGAATAGACTAGACTAGACTAGAATAGAATAGAATAGACTAGAATAGAAGAGAATAAACTAGAATAGACTAGACTAGAATAGACTAGAATAGAATAAAATAGACTGGACTAGACTAGACTAGACTAGAAAAATAAAATACCTACATCACCCAAATTTTCCCAAGTTGTCTGCCATCCAAATACTAACGAGGCTTGACTCTGGTTAGCTTCCAAGACTCGATCAGAGCAGGTGCATTCAAAATGGTAGGAAAAAAAAGAAAAAAGAGAAAAAAAAAGGGAGAAAAAAATTTAAAAGACAAAAGAACGAAAAAAGACAACCTTTTCCTCCACGCGAAGACACCGATCTCTAACTTTCTTTTTTCCTCCCAAGATCAATGTTTCTGGTGATTTGGAAAATAGATACAACTTTCCAAGCTCTGAACCCAGGGCAAAACACGCTGTGAAGATCAGAGCTGCAGACGTCCGCATCCTGAACTGGAGTTCCTGGAGTGAAGCTGCTGAATTTGGTAAGCGCTGGGCGGAGGTAAGGGATGTCTGTGCCATTTGCCAACACCTCGGAGCAGGCACAGAGGTCAGCGGCTCTGCCCTGGGCGCTGAGATTGAGTTGAGAACATCGCTTGGAATAGCGTCAGGCTCTGAGTTTATCGCTGAGGGTCGAAAGAAGGAGGGGGTCTCGTGCTTGGTCATGCAACATTGCTTTGCTGATGTTTTATCAGGATGGATGAGCTACGCTCCCTTAATAACCAGAGAAGAGCCGGGCATGGTGGCTCACGCCCTGTCCATCCAGCCATCTGGGAGGGCTGAGGTGGGCGGATTCACTGGAGGTCGGAGTTTGAGACAGCCCTGGCCAACATGGTGAAACCCCGTCTCTACTAAAATCAAGAAACTCGGCCAGGCATGGTGGGCTCACACCTGTCATCCCAGCACTTTGGGAGGCTGAGGCGGGCGGCATCACTGGAGGTCAGGAGTTTGAGACCAGCCTGGCCAACACGGTGAAACCCCGATCCTACTAAAAATACAAAATTAACTGGTGTGGTGGCTCACACATGTAATCCCCAGCACTTGGGAGACTGAGGAGGCGGATACCTGAGTCAGCAGTTTGAGATCAGCCTGGCCAACATCGTGAAACCCCATCCGCTACTAAAAACACAAAAAAATTAGCCAGATGGGCCAGGCGCCCGGTGGCTCGCGCCTGTCCTCCAGCACTTTGGGAGGCCTAGGCCAGCGGATCACGAGGTCAGGAGTTCGAGACCAGCCTGGCCCAACATGGTGAAACCCCCTCTCTATAAAAATACAAATAGGCCAGGTGTGGGTGGTTCACACATTGTAATCCCAGCACTTTGGAGACCGAGGAGGGCGAATTACCCAAGGCTCAGGAGTTTGAGATCAGCCCTGGCCAACATGGTGAAACCCCATCTCTACTAAAAATAACAAATATTAGCCGGGCTGGTGGCGTGTGCCCGTAGTCCCAGCTAACTCAGGAGGCTGAGGCCGGCAGAAATGGCTTGAACCCGGGAGGCGGAGCTGCAGTGAGCCAAGATCGCACCACTGCGCTCCAGCCTGGGCGACAGAGCTGGCGACACTCTGTCCTCAAAAAAAAAAAAAAAAAGAAAGGAGGTGGTCTCATACTCCATAACGGTCATGCGCATATTGCTTTGCTGTGTTTTTTTTTTTTTTCAGGAACGATGAGCTAGGCTCCTTCAGAGGCAGAGGACAACCCACTGACAGCCCTCCTAAAGCCCCCCTCCCTCTGCCCCACTGAGAATAGTCAGTCTTCGTCCACTCACAACCATGACCATTCTGGCTCCTGGCCATGGGGGAAGCTCTCTCCCTTTTTTTTTTTTTTTTTTTTTGAGACAGAGTTTTGCTCTTGTTGTCCCAGGCTGGAGTGCAATGGTGTGGTCTCAGCTCCTGCAAATCTCCACCTCGCTGGTTCAAGCAATTCTCTGGCCTCAGTCTCCCGAGTAGCTGGGATGACAGGCACCCGCCACCACGCTAGGCTAATTTTTGTATTTTTAGTAGAGACGGGGTTTCTCCATGTTGGTCAAGCTGGTCTCGAACTCCCGACCTCAGGTGATCCGCCCGCCTCGGCCTCCCAAAGTGCTGGGATGGCAGGCGTGAGCCACCGCGCCCGGCCAGGGAACCTCTCTTCAAAGCCAGGTCTGGGCTGCCCGGGAGGTACAGGGCTATGCTTTTCTCTGAAGATGATTTTGAGGGCTCCAAATTGCAAAGGGAAGAGGCAGGATATTGAGAAGTACACGGTTTTCACCTCAACAAAGGGGACAGAGGAAAAAATCTGGGGAATCGGCTGATGTATACATCAGATGACACAGACAAAACGGGATACAGGGGTGATCAGAGGTGTGTCTGGTGGGCCGGACTGACTGCACCTGTAAGAAATGTGTGTGTTTGTTTACTTTTTGGTTTTTGAGGTGGAGTCTCACTCTGTTACCCAGCCCAGAGTACAGTGGTGTGATCTCGGCTCACTGCAGCCTCCATCTCCCAGGTTCCAGCGATTCTCCTGCCTCAACCTCCCGAGTAGCTGGGATTACAGACGTGCATCACGCTTGGCCAATTTTTGTATTTTTATTTTTATTTGTTTATTGATTTTGAGATGGAGTTTCGCGCTGTCACCCAGGCTGGAGTGCAATGGCAGGATCTCAGTTCACTGCAGCCTCCATCTCCCGGGTTCAAGCGGTTCTCCTGCCTCAGCCTCCCGAGTACCTGGGATTGCAAGCGTGTATCTCGCTTGGCTAATTTTCGTATTTTGATTTATTTATTTTGAGACGGAGTTTCTCTCTGTCGCCCAGGCTGGAATGCAATGGCGTGATCTCGGCTCACCGCAACCTTCCACCTCCCGGGTTCGCGATTCTCTGCCTCACGATCCTGAAGTGGATGGAGGATTCACGGGCACCTTGCCACCGCTGCCTAATTTTTGTATTTTTTTTTTTGTAGAGATGGGGTTTCACCTGTTGGTCAGGCTGGTCTGTGAACTCCTGGCCTAGATGATCCGCCGCCTCGGCCTTCCACAGTGCTGGGATGACAGGCGTGAGCCACGGCACCTGGCCCAATTTTTGTATTTTTTATTTTATTTTTTATTTTTTATTTTTATTTTTATTTTTTTTGAGACGAGTCTCGCTCTGTCGCAGGCTGGAGTGCAGTGGCCGATCTCAGCTCACTGCAAGGCTCGCTCCGGGTTCACGCCTTCTCGCTGCCTCAGCCTCGCGAGCAGGCTGGGACTAGGGCCGCCATCGCCGCTTTTTTTGTATTTTAGATAGAGATTGGGGTTTCACCTGTTCGCCAGGATGGTCTCGATATCCTGACCTCGTGATACCGCCTCAGCCTCCAAAGTGCTGGAAGACAGGCGTGAGCACGCGCCGGCCCATTTTTTGTATTTTTAGTAGGAGACGGGGTTTCACCATGTTGCCAGGGCTGGTCTCGAATCCCTGACCTCAAGTGATCCACCCGCCTCGGCTCCAAAGAGCTGGGATGACAGGTGTGAGCCACCGCGCCGGCCCATGGTGGGGAAGTTTGAACAATCCACAAAATTTCCCTGTGGGCAAACATGACACAGGCGGGTGGCCTTTCATCTCCGAACCATCTTGGTTTAGGAACATAAAAAAAGGGTGGAGGCAGGTTTGCTCGACCAGTTCTCAGCTTCACTGTTTCCCTAGTGGCTAAATGCATCTGGGTCGGAAGAAATTTAATTTCCTTTCACACGTCCATCAGCCATCACGATGGCCGCGTAGTGTGTATCTCTCTAGGCTCCGACGACCGAAACCCCAGCTCTGTGCACATTTACGTGCTCCTGATCCTGGGAACCCTTGTCTGTGGCCTTCTCTTCGGCTTCCTCTTTAAAAGGTAACGTGTGAAACCCCTGGGCATCCCCCAGGCAACCATGCCAGGCCGCGAGAAAAGCGCTTTCTCCAAAGTCGGTCTCTGTCTCTGAGAAAGAGAAACACAGCCTTGGCCGGGCACGGTGGCTCACGCCTGTCATCCCAGCTTCCTCTTCACACGTCCATCACCATTCACCGTGGACGCGTACGTGTGGTATCTCTCTACTAGGCTCCGACGACCGAAACCCCCGCTCTGTTGCACATTACGTGCTCCTGATCCCTGGGAACCCTTGTCTGTGGCCTTCTCTTCGGCTTTCCTCTTTTAAAAGGTAACGTGTGAAACCCCTGGGCATCCCCCCAGGCAACCATGCCAGGCGCGAGAAAAGCGCTTTCTCCAAAGTCGGTCCTCTGTCTCTGAGAAAGAGAAACACAGCCTTGGCACGGGCACCGGTGGCTCACGCCTGTCATCCCAAGCTCTTTGGGAGCGCCGAGGCGGGCGGATCACCTGAGGTCAGGAGTTCAGAGACCAGCCCTGACCAACACGGTGGAAACCCTGTTCTCTACTAAAAAACAAAATTAGCCGGGCGTGGTGGCAGGTGCCCTGTCATCCCAGCTACTCGGGAGGCTGAGGCAGGAGAATCGCATGAATCTGGGAGGTGGAGGTTGCCAGTGAGCTGAGATGACCACTGGCACTCCAGCCCTGGGCAACAGAAGAGCGCAGACTCCCATCTCAAAAACAACAACAAGGGCCGGCGCGCCGGTGGGCTCACAAGCCTGTCATCCCAGCACTTTGGGAGGTCGAGGCAGGCGGATCACCTGAGGTCGGGAGTTCGAGACCAGCCTCGACCAACCACAGTGAAACCCGCGTCTCTACTAAAAATACAAAATTAGCCAGGCCGTGGTGGCAGGTGCCTGTCATCCCAGCTACTCAGGAGGCTGAGGCAGGAGAATCGTTGGAACCCGGGAAGGCGGAGGTTGCGGTGAGCGGAGATCACACCATTTGCACTCCAGCCTGGGCGACAAGAGTGAAACTCCATCTCAAAACTAATAAATAAATAAAGAGAGAGAGAGAAGTGAGAGAGAGCGAGAGAGAAGAAACACACGCCTGCAAAGATGTCTGGTGATCCCAACGACCA